AGTTTGTGATGATGTCTGGGATTAAGGAAACAACATCAGGCAGCTGTTTGAATTGCTTTGTTCCTTTATTGAGCTAATCATGTTAGACTCTGATGTGCTGTGAGACGCTACACAGTTAAACATGCAGCCTCTGTTATCATATTTTAGAACAAATGGTGAAATCCTGTGTAACTACAGAGCACCCTGCCTTCTCTTTCATACTATATGGTCCAGCTATGAATAATAATGGATATATATCTACAAATGAAAGCTGCTTAAGGCCGCTTTAAACTTTAGTCATTTAATTTTACAATCTAACCCATAACAGTAAATCAGGGCTTTGTTTTATTGCATATGTCCAGATAGACTCAGCTGTTTTTTGTTTTAAATCCCCAAAAAGTTGAACCTTATATTGTGATATGGTGTACTTTGATTGATTTCACTTTATGGACACGAAACTGCACATACAAATTTGTTTTTTAATTTGTGCAATAAGTGGGCATGTTGCAGGTGATCTAAAAAAGATATCTGCACATATGTTAAGACCATGCAAACCAATTAGGTTCTACCAATTTAAATAAGAGTGAATCCTTCAGAGAGCTGGTAAGATTCAAAACTTCTAATTATAGTAGTTGGAGCTGATAATAATAACAAAATATTCAAAAAATAATAATAAAAATGTATAGAGTTCTTTACATAGGTAGCATATTTTAAGTAATACAAACAAAAGTAAAAAATCAAATTGATAAAAATAAATTAAATTACATTTACAAAACATGAAATATCATACAACATGAGAAAGTTGTCTTTGTCTGCTGATTGCCCACTCCCACCCCCACTGTGTGGGTTTCTAAACAGGAGCAAACGTATAAAACATAACTGTGCTTCGTGCTTTACTCAATCCAGGGAAGAAAAAGAAACCTGTTGCAAGGAGTAAGGGATGCACACCCATCCATGCTAAATGTTTATATTGGAATATCCTCCACCCATGAATATATGCATTTTTGGAATTAGAATATTATCTGCTATTGATGAAGGCACAAACACAAAAACAAGGCTAATACACGCCTTAAATTGTAAACGCAAATCACTTTGTGACTTCTTTGAAGAGCATACAAACATGTTGGCACGTTTTAAGAGCACAAACCTTCAGAAAATAAGGCGCTAGATATGTCCACTAAACAGAGGTGGATAATTCAGGTTCAGAAAGTCAAAATGCTGCCATGTTTTCTTTCATTCTGTTCACCTAACCAGGTTATTAGTTTCTGTCTGTGTTGTGGAGCTGGACATGCAAAATGGAACTAATCTCTAAACATTTTGTTTTTATTTTTTTTATTGCTGAACCTGGATTGTCCACTTGTGCCAAAAATACTGATGAAAAAGTTCTCTCTAACTCAAGTTTAAAAGAGTGGATGAGATATGTTGTAAATCTTAATAGCTGAGTTTTATTTCATAATTTCACAAAGATAGTGTGTCATTTTAGGATCTTCAAGAGAAAAATGTTCTTTTGTACATTTAACATTTTATTTGATAAGGGGTATATTTCCTACTAAAGCAGAAAATTTGTTTTTATTTGCTGCAAATGAAAAATGGATTTCAGCAACATTTTTATTGGCAGGCCAAAGCTTTACGATATCTGTAAGAGGAAAATCGGCCACAAAACTCTGATCAGTGCTTAAGCTAACCTAACATTTACACTCCAAAATAGTTCCACTCATAAATCAGAGCACATTGAACCAGGCATCAGTTTTAGAGTGAAATTACACAATGTTTCCACCTAAAACCCGAGTGTTAAGAGTCAGAGGAGCTGGATGCTGCAGAAGAAGGTGAAATGTTGGTTCCTTCGTTTTCATGGCTCCACAGTGCAGAACCATGGCCATATATCTCCAGCGTATTATCAGGATGACTCCTGCTGGCCACCCTGTCACAGGAGAGTGCTTGATATAAACAAGAGATTGCTGCGACACCCAGTAATCAATATTAGGATGGTTTCAGTACCAAACATCATTTGTCTCTGCGAACATTCCTTTGACCAAACGGAGCATTAATTCAAATCATAAATCTGAGCTGATTTAAATCCGAGGAGAGGGAGAGAGGCAGTACACCCCCCCATCCCTCTACGACTTCTGACTGCCTGCCCCTAATGATTTATTTTCTACATTTCTGCAAGCGAGAGATTTGTCCATACTCACTGACAGGTCACCTTCAAACGCCAGTGGCAGACTGTTCATCACCATGCAGACGAGCATCTCATCGCTGCGAGTAAATATTAAAGGAAAAGAATCCAATTGATTGTGGATGGGCCTGAGAGGCGTCACTGCCATATATTTCACTCAGAGAGCTAATGCTGTGGCCCACACCTAGAAGCGCACCCTCCCTTTCTTTTTTTGCCAGAATTATGATTCTTCCGGAGAGCCTTGTGTGGCTGGCTGCGCCACTCAAGGTTACAATTTAAATTGTAAAAAGATAAAACTGTTTCTTATTAGCTCCATTGCCACAGCCTTGCTGTTTGGTGCTCACATTTATCTTTATTTCGGTGACCTCGCAGGCTCACATTTTTTTTCTTTTTTCTTTTTTACACACTCCATTCTCTTGGAGTGATGACCTCACGCTTTATGCATTTTGCATTGTTAAATCGGCTTTGAAACACATCCTGTTTTTATCTCCCGCACCACAAGCCCCACTGTGTCAAGTGTTACTTTAGAAATGTGTCGTTTATTTCAGTAAGAGAACGGAAACCTCTATTTAGCGTCCCAAGTTGCAAGGATTACATCTGGTTTATAATTCTGAAAAGGCCTTGTGAATCTGAACCAGCGTACATTATCAGTCTCTTTTAATTCACTAAGTGCTTGTGTGTGATATTACGGAGCTCCTTCTGCTTTTTAGGGCTAATAATTAATTGAAACGGCACATAGTGAAAAACCAGAGCTCTCACAGCAATTCAATTAGATCATGTTAAAAAGCCGATAGCCGGGGTAAACTGTGTTCACAGCTTGGCTCTACAATTAGGCTCTTTTTTTCTCTGTTAACGTTACAGACTTCAAGAAAAAACAAAACTCCCACTCGCACTGAATTTAGAGCTTCCCCCCTACATGCAAACACATTGAATTCAGCAGCTTACCATGTCATAAACAACTGGTATAACAGCGGGGTATTGGATGTACCGTGCAAATCTTTGGTTTTAAGTCAAGCTGTATGAGTAATACCAATTAGGCTTTGCTGGATTCTGGCTGAAACAAGACAGGAAGTTAGAGTGAACTGTTGAAAGAAACAGAAGTAAGTTCAGCATGTAGTGTAAGCAGAGACTTATTATTCTTTGCTTCTGAGCATATTTTAAATGGATGGTTCCTACAGATATGAAATTTCATACCTTACCATGTCCACAGTTCTTCTTTTATTCCAATTGTTTTCAAAGCATTGTGGACATTTGAGTTAAAACACATTTGCCAAGTTGGGTTCTGTATGTTGAAATTTACTTTTTAGATTTTTTTCACTGTTTGTTTCAGGTTTTTAATTTAAATATGACCATTTAATTTCCCCTAAATCACTTTAATATCTAGAAAAATATTTGTGCAAAAATATTTTAACTTAACAAGTGAGAATGACAAATGTTGAACATTAAAAAAAGTCACATGTTGCAGGGTACCTGGGAGAGGTAACAGTTTTCATCTGCTTTAAATATGATCCCAATTCATCACAATGTAACCTGACTTTTTGTATGTCATATAGTGTTTCTTGATTAACTCATAGATCAAATATAACAAGAGTTTTTATGTATTTGATTGAAAATAATGATAAAAGTAAAACTTAAGAAGTGAATGTTTATCATTCAAAGACAATCAATTGTTCCTGTCTTATACAACTAATTAATATAAAGTTGACTTTCTATTAAGCATTGTAATACACAGCTATTACACTCCAATTGGCACCTGGTAAAATAAATCAGCTCTTTTATTTATAATGCAGATTTATCAAATTAGAATGAACCAATCCACTTACATTTTAAGTTAAACATTTTGATCTGTGATTCATTTATTTATTTTTTATTGTTTTATTTTTTTTTTTTAACAATTAAATTCAATTTAAAACTGGGATCCAAAAAGGTCCATTGAGTGCCAAAAGAATCTGTCAAATGGTTATTATTTACTTTTTTTAATATCTCAGACAGTAAACCATTAAATAAATAAAAATGTAATAAAAACATAGGCTTTTGTGAGACAAATCAAATGTCAAAGAAAAAAGAAAAAAGAGTACAACATTTTTGAGAAGCTCTGAAAAAAGGGGAAAAGGCTTTTGCTTTTATATGATTATATTCGGAATACAGTCTGGATAATTAAAACATGTTTTCATACACATTATATTTTACATCCTTTTATGCTAAGACTCAAATATTGATCATTCAAATTCCTTTTTTTTTTTTTTTTGACTGATATGAACTCTGGAAATATTTTTTTAACCTGACTTGTGTTACGTGTCACAATAGAAGAGAATCAAAGAGAAGCAAACTGTAGGTAAAAAGGTATGAAATGTAAGGAAATTGTCGACAAAAAAGAGGAAATTGTGAATATTGTTCTTTGGAACCATTTTCAAAAACTTGTTAATGACAGAAAACAGTCGATCCTTTTGTAAAAGTTGGTTCCTTGGTGATATTCAGCCATCATTCACACAATATTACTGAACGTTTACTATAATCAGAGTACTTATGTTGATTCAATGAATAAAATGTTCAGTAACTAGTTTAACTGATTTTTAAAGAAATTAAATCTGCAACTAATAGACAAGCAACAAACAATGGCTTTAATCAAGTTATCTGAATTATTTTATCTATTTTATAAAAAAAAAAAAAACTGAAGTATTAGATTATACTGGTAGAAATTCCCTCTAAAAGCTGTAAATTATGTAGAAAGTCTCTGTCAAGTAAAGTTGTATTAAAATGCTTCAGAGCATGCATCTGTCATCCATTACTGTGAGTGCAGATGTGTCAGTGACAGTGCCTGTGTGTGTGTAAAGGGCATCCTCACCGACGCCAGAGCTGAGGTCTCCATTCTCTCCGTCAGCCCCGTGGTGGTTGGCGTTGCCGTGGTAGCCGCTCATCGCCTCCAGCTTGATCTTCTTGACCTTCATGGCCTCTGCGATGGCTGCGTTGGCAGCTGCTGCCGCGGCCGCTGTCAGGCCTGGAGAGAGGAGGCAGAAGAGACAGAGCGCTTACAGACCTGCCGCACTGTCTGCTGAGGCTGAGCAACACCACCTGGGAGACAATTCCTTTGGTAAATGAAGCAAACAAATGAATATGGCTTCAATAATAACAAGAAGAAACACTAAGTAATTTCACACACTATGCTGAGCGAGCTTCTATGAAATGCCAGCCCTGTGGTTCATCTTCTGACAGAGTAGATCTTCCCAGCAGGTTATCATGCTGATGAGATGGATCCCTGTGTGTATGGCAGCATATGATTTTTATGAATGTTTTGAGGACTCCAGCAATCCTCGCCTCTGTACTGATGTATTTGTTCCCTGATAGGAAGAGATGCAGTTGAGATAATAGTGCATGATGCAAGCATTCTGTGTGCACAACTTATTACAAGCTATGTGTTTGTGTTTAAAATACTGTTTGATTCTGGAGGAAAGAAAAAGCTAGAGAGGCTGAAGCAACACAACCAATGAGTCTTGTTTATGGCAGCTTCAGTTTTGTTTAAGTGATTTAATCAACATAAATATGGCTAACGTTTAAATGAACTTAATCTTAAAACCGCGTAGCAGGCACTTGAGTTTTTTTCATGATTAGTGTTTGCAATTCTTCATTATGCTCTTAAAAAGGCTATGCTGTGATCCAGTGAATAGTAAAACCATATCTTGTAGAATTTAGTGTAAAAGCTATAGAGAAAAAAAACAGGTGACAAAGTAAGATAAATCATTGCTCTTTATTTCAAAAAGACACATTCGAAAGTTTAGAAATGGAAGGATTAAAAAAACATTTGTAGTATAAAACATTATACCATTCCTCAAGTGTATATTCTTTATAATTACATTAAAGAAAAAAGCCAACACAACTTCCTGGCTGATTGAGGTATCAACTTACCGGTAGTGTCAAAAGTACACACCTTTGTTACTTAAGTAGAAGTATAGATACTGCAGTTTAAAAACACTCTGGTAAAAGTTGAAGTATCAACTTGACCTCTTTACTCAAGTAAAAGTGAAAAAGTATGTGCTCGACAACTACTTAAAGTATACAAGTAAAAAGCAACCTTTAAAAAACAGCCAGATGCCGCTATATGAAATGAAAGCTCAAGTTTTTGACTATTTTGAAAAATTCTTTTGAGATAGGGCCAAGGATGAGGGTGGTCTTGTTGGTCTCCATCTCCAGATACGCTCTCGCCTGTTTCCGATCTTTCAGACATTTCAACATCTTTTTCTGAATCAACATTGTAGCATGGCAAAGACAATTCACGTTTGAACACCTGCTTGCTTCTGATGATTTCCTTTAGCTAACCAATAAGTGTTTGCGTTATATGACTCAACCAATTACACTAGTTTTCACAAGATGTCGATGGTGCCAATGATCTGCATTGGATGGCGCTAATGACGTGAAATAAATATTTATAAACATTAAACCAAAGCCAAGAGTAACGAGTAATGTTTTTTTTTTTTAAATATAAGGAATAGAAAGTACAGATTTGCTTTGCTTAGCTATATAGTTACCCACACGCCTCTGCATCGTAGGAACTATTGGCACAGCCAGCCTCACAAATTTGAAGAGAAATAAATTGTTTCCTTCTATATCCTCTATACGCTTGGTGAAACAGGCAAATGTACACACCTTTATATGTAGCTTCACGTATTTATTAATGATGTATAACTTTTTGCGCAACTTATACTTTTGTATAACAACATGTGTTTCTGTGTGACACCTGTAAGGTCGAAGCCTTACTGGATTTGGTACAGCAGTATTTATTTTCTTTTCTACTCAGGATAGTCTCCTTCAGCCGAGCGGACACTGTGCAATTTTCGGCGTGATTTTCCCGTCGTGCGATAAATCTTTCGATCAGGCCGACTTTCAGCCTGATCGTGCGTCGTGTAGTGTTCAGGGGGTTACAAGGGGTGACCAGCCTATCATGACCACCTCCCGATCAGGAATTGTGAGGTCGGGAGATAATCAAACATGTTGGATTATCTCCCGACCGTCGGGGGTAAATCACTCAGTGCGCATGCGCAAAAAAGGATTCTTCTGTAAACACAGCAGCATGGCAGGGATACAATGAGTGAAATGCAGTTCTGTCTGTAAAATTGACAGACCATAGTAGCCACGTTTGCTCAGCCATGTTTTTTTCCGAACACGTCGACACCTTTTCTTTTTAGGGCTTTCAGCACAAAATTGCACAAATTGCCAAGGCAGCGCGGTTCACTATAGTGAGCTTAATATCCCCCTTTTATTTGTTTGGCTTCCGGATAGATGAGTCAGAGCAGTTCCATCTCACGTGGTTTTTTAGTCAGTGTGAGGCAGTGTCAGCAGGTAGATTGCATGAGAGTGTCGGGCCGAGCATAAGTCGTGAGCAGTGAGCTCACACTGTACGACTAAACCCTGCGGTTTTAGTCGTACAGTGTGAGCAAAAGCTGCGTGCAACGACTGAAAAAATTGCACAGTGTAGGCCCGGCTTTACTGCTCACTCAACAAAAGGTGAAGGAACAGAAACTAGGAGCAACAATTTGTCAAATTCTGAAGCGTGGCTAAAGCTTGGTTTATACTAGACGTATTAAACTATGCTTGAGAGGATGAGCGCAAACCATGACACGTTTCTGCCATTCCAGACTCGGTCTCTGTCGTAGCATTTAGCTGCACACCTCAAAATTTTTTTTCACTCGGAACAGATCGTGCATGCACTGCTCCTTTCAAAGTGAGCAAGAAGCAGACTTTTTGCACGCAAATTAGTCATCAATTAACACGAAAGAAAAACAAGGAACAGAGAAAGTTAAAAGAAACTTGTACAAATTAGAGTCTCAAGTTTTATATCATTCACAAAGAGAGAAAAGTTGGTTTGCAACTTTGCAAGAAAGAGAATTATGTTAATGGGAAATAATGTGTTCGAAAGGGAACACAGCTGTTTCTTGTGTGTGTGAAATGTATCTAAATAGCTTCCTTTGGTTATGCAGCATACTGTAGTCTGCATTGTGGGGAAATACTGTTCCAGCGTCAGCATTATGTATATATTTCAGGAGGGTTTTTTCTGGCGAGAAAGAATCGGTCAAGGCCTACATGGCACGCCAAACTCAGTCTAAAGAGTGTCTTTAGGTGACATGGCCATAAAGTGGAATACATGAGCATAAAATCCTCTCTGACAGTTAAAAAATCATCCATGTGACACTAGGATAAACTCTAATTCTCAAAGGGGGGAAACCAAATAGTTTCAATGGTTGGACAGGTTAAGGATGCACCTCTAGTTTAGTAATGTTATCAAGTTAGATACATATTAATTGATCATAAAAAATACAAAAATATATAAACAACGTTGAACAGAGTAATAGTATTATTTATATGCTTTAAAATGTTCTTAAAAATAAAGCTTTTGAAAGAAATGGAAAAAGTCACAGAAGAATATATGTCGTATTTTCTGGATTTTAAGCAGCAACTTTTTTTTTTTTACTTTGAAATATGCTGCTTATGTGAAGGTGCAGCTTTTCTATGAATTTCTCTTCAACTGCCAGGGAGTAGAAGTCAAACTTGGAAATTAAACAACAGGAGAAAAGACCTCTGTTATTCCAGTTGACAAAAGGCATGACGTAGAAAAAAAATGTCCCAACTTCACAAAATTTGATTTTTTTTTTTTGCCTCATCAAAGCTATCAAACCAAGGAAGAGACTGTTGGCAACTATTTCAGAATTAAAATAAAGAGCAGACCAAGCCACATCCTTCTTTAGAAGCTCTTCCTGCCATGAAACAAGCTAACGGGATTAAGCCAGCATCATCCCTACTGTAGGGAGTGTAATACAATGTTAGCCCTTATCCACATGTTGCTACACACTTCCTGTCAGCTGGCTGAAAGGTACTTGGTTATTTTTCACTCTACTAAGATATACAAATGAATTTATTTAAAAAAATTTTTTTACCAAAATGCATGGACGGTCATGGTGTGGAAACTAAAGGAAAACAATCCGTTATTCCCAGAAGGGGTAAGAAGAGCTAAGCTTTAAAACAGCAACTAATCTTACAAATTGTTTTTTTTTTCTAACAATTATTGGTAAGTACGGTATTAATATACTTTATGATATATAGAGAAATATTAATATATTTAAATGTGTTTTTTTCTTGTTTTGTTTTTTTAAATAAAAAATAATTAGAACCTTTTAAATATTTCTGCTAATACTCTGATATTTTAGTTGAGGTTTTCATGCATTGAAAATCTTTCTCACTACTCCCCACAAAATAAATCTAACCATGAAAATCTGCATTTTGGGTAAAAAGGGCTTTTCCTGTTTTATCCTGTTTCACCATAGCTTGAAGAAAACCATAAACCAATTACCCTGCATGGGTTTGTATGCGTATCACTCGAAAATTTCTGACAAAGTGCCAAATAGCTTAGAGAATTTTGCATGCATCTGCTCATGCCAAAGGCTGCTGTTCCTCCTGAGTAGACTAAATGAATATTGACATCACATTTTAAATAATCATTCATATTTCCACCGTGATCCCCCAAACACGCCGTAGAATAGCAAGTTGTGACACGGTTGTCCAACATCAATCAAAACGAACCTGCTATGATTGATATAGGGAGAGGGAGATTATATATGCACGTATGCCGGGCACACTGCAGAGATCATAAAGCACTGGTTTGTCATTGTGGTAGTTCCCGGGTTCTGGTGTATTGAACGTGACTGAAATCTTTATTCATGAGGCTGGTTTCAAACAGCAGGGACTGATATAGTGCTAAAGCTCCTCCAGGCCCGGTGACTCTCAGGAGAGACCCGCAACTCTTCTTTCCAAACCCTGTGAAGAAATCAAAGACGCAAAGCAAAAAAGAAAAAAAAGGAGATACCTATTACTCTTATAACTCTTCCCCACAATACTGTATATCACCTGCTCCCTTTTTACGGGAGCTGTTTGTAGTTGATATGCAGGTTTGGCTTACATTTGACGCAGAACAAAGCAGCGTCGGCGTTTATCATCACTAAGCTGTCACGT